TTCCAATGTTATATCCGTTTTACTTTTTCACATGTGAAATCTCAAAACGTAAAAAAAGCAAAATCCCCAAAACGGATAGCGAATCGCGATTCGCTATCTGTTAATTCGAACCCTGGATGGGGATAAAATAAGTCCTTTTAATGATGTAACGTCATACAGAGTGTCCCAAAAATGTCCCTTATCATATTTTGTGGTACTACATCATTACCTGTAATCGAATAATCAAATTTTTTCATATTTTTTATCAATGAAAATATTACGTTAATCGTTGCATTTTTTCACACCAAAATATTTAACCGTTTGCCTTCTAGAGTTACTTAGAGTGGCGACACCAATATTGCCACTTGTCCAAATTGTGGATATATTAGGTTTAAAAATATTACGGAACATATTAAAATATTTCAATTGTAAATGGCCACATATCTTTTCTAAAACTTGTAATGAGTTGTAGCCAAAATCTAGCTAATTTTCTGTAAAAATTATGAAGCAAATCCCCAGAAAAGGGGAAAAACTAGTGCTGAAATCCCAACATTTGCTCTTTCATGGAACAAATTGAATGGAAAACAGCAAATTTAAGGCATTTGCCCAACCTTAGCTTTGTCTTTGTCAATTTGCCAGGGATTTTTCATCTTTTTTCTAAATTTTTACAAGAAACAAAAGTTTAATAATAGAGATAAAAACATTTTGTTTTTGAGCAGAAAGGTAGGTAGAAACTTCAGAAATCCTTCTACAAAGTTTGCATTATTTTTAACCTAATTTCTGTAATTTGGACGGGTTGCAAAATTGGTGTTGCCACCTTAAGTATCTCTAGAAGCTGAATGGTTAAGTCGTTTGGTGAGATAAATACTACGATTAATATAATATGATTGTTTTTCAACCCACCTGCAAAAAAATTGAACCTTTGATTAAATATAGTGAAGTAATACCAGTAAATATGACTGGGGACATTTTTTTGGCGCACCCTGTAGTGCTTATTATTCATAACATATCTTTAATCTTGTACAGCTATTTCAATTAAAGTTGTCACTGAGACAATAGTCAAATGGCGCTAAAAGAATTATATGGGCGCTAAAAGAATCATGGGAATAATCATAGTTTTAAATAAGTTTAGCATATCAGTAACCTTGTGGGGATGCTTTTAGCAACAGCTCCCAAAGCAAATGTAGTTTTAGAATATGCAAAGTTTGGTTGTTGGCGAAACAATTTAAGTTTCGAGTTGTCGCATGTAGCACATGGATATCTCGTAGCATCACAATAAATAAATAAATTGTATCACTTCCACAAGGCACAACATTTTTGATGTGTTAGGCTTGTTTCAAACGTCTCGCTACTCATGTGCCGATGCATTAAAAACAATAGATAATGAGATAAAATGCCTTTGGTAACTGTTTATTTTGGAGTGTAAGCCATCAGCTTTTCTAGGTTGTCGGCGACTCTATATAGTTCTTGCAGTGTCTTTCTCAATTTGAAACTTCACACTATCCTTGGATCCCTATTTAAGAATGTTCCTGGGAAGTCTGAAACATTCCCTCATAATAAACAAACACAATGCGACCTATATAGCGCATCGTAAAATTGCTAAGGCCCGTCCTGCGATTTTTTCGGCCTCCCCTTATCCAGAACGTCTGGCTATGTCACTGCACAAAAAACTGAAACAGGCAACAAGCAGTCTGGAATTGTTTTTCCTGTTGAAAGAAAACAGCCGTAAACAACCTAATTAGAACAATTTTACTATTTTTAAGCCAGTAAATAGCTGTAACTTGCACTGTTGTCTCACTAAAATTGCAGTTTAAATCATTGCTCAGATGCATTAATGCTTGGCTCCACTTTTGCAAGGCTTACTGTTCATGTGCGATCCTCGAAATATGCATGTTTGACGTCAGAATTTGAACCATGTGATCTAGACAAAATAGCTTCCAGCCAGAGTGAACCAAAGTTTATACCACCGGTTTATACCAAACAAACTCTGTGAAATGTGGGGGAAAGTATACAGGTTTTTTGTCATACAATTAAAGGTTGGTATTTTTTCAATTATATTCATGAAAATAATAGAAATGTCCAGAGAATGAGATCACAGATGTACTCAAGAGTCAAGACTCAAGTTATTAGTTATATACTTTAATACTTAATGTGTCTGGATATTAAAAAAATTAAAGTAAACACAACATACTGGAAACAAACCATCACTACTTGGTTTAAACAATTTTATTTACGTTTCACATTTTATATACAAATATTAAAATGGGTGTCTTGAAAACTAAGACCTCTAAGATAAGACCCTAAGACCCACAAAACTTGAAAACTAAGACCCCGAATTTTATTAAAATACAAACTTACCTGAAATTTTGACGTATAATATTTGGGAATCTTTTTTGAACAGATGAGAGTTCAGATACAGGGAATATAATCGGGGAATATAATCGTGACAAAATAATAAAAATATAACTAGCCAGTGCACAGACATGTAATATCATCCATCTCGTATGATCAGAATTCATCTGATTTTGGAACTATTCATTTGTGATAGTAAGGTATAGGTAATCACACATGAAGGAGTGCAATTAATGATTAACACTACGAGTGATATTTGAAAAATGTGCCAAAATTGCACAATCCGCCGAGGCGAGTGCAATTTGGCACATTTTTCAAATATCACGAGTAGTGTTAATCATTAATTGCACGACTTGCCCGTGTGATTATTTATTTATTATATGCATGACAAAATCGCCTTCTTTATATTTCAACTGCATTTTGCAAGAGTTTTTAATTCTTTTGTAAGCAATTTGGTATAAAGAAACTAGGGAATGATTATAAACTTAAACTAGAACATAACTTAAACTAGAACACAAGATTCAAACTCAAACAACATATTTTAGACTAAGAAAATCTTTATAAATTGTATTTCAAACTTACGTATAGCCATGTTTTGCTGCATCCGGCCAAGATTATTTCTTAAAAATGTTTCCAGGTATTTCCCACAGGCTCTTTTTGCCAATGTTTCTTAAACTCATTCTTGTGCCAAAATTCAGTTCAATTCGTCCACATTTGTTAGAAATATTTATCTAAATTTTCGCCGCCATATTGGATTTTGTTGTTTTGATTTCCCGCTACCCCCCCCCAGCCATCACAAAAATCATTAATTGCACTCCTGGAGAGTGCAATTAATGATGGTAATAGAACGAATAGGAGTGCTATTAATGCCATAATCATAAGAGTGATTACAAAATCAACCAACCGCGTAGCGGGAGGTTGATTTGTTAATCACGAGTATGATTATGGCATTAATAGTACGACTTAATTTGTTCTATTACTTATTAATTATTTATCTTCTGTAACCAAACTGTTTAAGGGGAAAAGCACAAAAATACAATTTGTTGAAATTCAATATAATTATTATTAAATTTTTATCACAACAATTCTTAGTGAAATAGTACAATTTTGAATTATTATTTATCATATATAATCAAATTAAATATTATTAACTTCCGGGCATTATTTCCGGTATAATCACATGACAACATTTGTTTGTATTATTCAACACACACGTGGGAAGCCATGTTTGTATGTTTATAACGTGTTCAAAATAGCGAAGTTCTTTAGTTCAGTTAATCATCTGAATTTGATTGAAATGTAACTCCTGGTTTTGTCTAGTTCGGTGTCTTCTGCTGGAAGAACAGGTAGGTCATTTTCGTCAGAAAATATATAATTTAACAACCCTCGAAAACGAGATCCGGCATTCAGCAAATATGCCGACCTTTGGCGACCTATTAAAATGCCGACCTATCAACCTCCCAGCTTTGCCGACCTTAATTCAGCCAAAGTAAGAAACTTTTTTGGTGCTGATAGCTGTTAAAAAGTCAGCGATTATAGAATTCGATACACTTTGGTGTAAGGTTTAAGAATTAACAGGTATTATGATATAATTTAGGTAAGACTCTAAAAGAAAAACCTTCGTGACATTTATACTTTTCAATGATTCGTAAATATGTGATTACTAGTGCAGGCTACTAGTGCTCCAAAACATATAAACATATTTTAAAAAATGCTGAGATGTGCCAAGCTAGGTGAGATTTAGGTCGGCATTTTTTTTCCGACCTCAATTTTGACGGTTTTCGAGGGCTGATTTAAAAATTAAAAGGTAAAAATTTTCAAAATTTGTGAATTCCTCCATTTTGAAATTTTTTACAGCATAAAGAAAATAAAATTCAAAGTTTGTATCCTGAATGCTGATTGGCTAGTTGTAAATACTAGACTGATTGTCATTGGTTGTAGACAAGAGTGCGATTACAGCTCATTTCAAATGAAATAATTGCAATCCTCTTAACCAATCAGATTGCAGTAATTTTGTCATGTATATAATAAGTTATAAAAAGCGGGAATTAAGTGTATTTCCGGTTGAACCGCAGTTGAAGCTCTTGCGTAAAATTTAGATATTTTGAAATTGCGAAATAAAAGATGCAAATCTGTTGATACAAGCTTGAAAATAACTCTCTAAATAGTGTTTTGGATTGTGATTCGAACAAGAGTATTATGAAAAAAGATATCTTGAAAGGGGCCGAAGTTATGTTTGGTGAAAGGTATGCATTAGTAAACATTGTTTACATATTTCGGGATTATTGTGTAATATAATGAAATTTGAAGTTGCTTGACTTCTAAAGGTCGTAAATCGCTATAATGGTAACATTTTATTATATCTATCGATAGGAATTTTTCACTGAATCGAATGGTGTTATTTTCATTTATATAGCATGCACTGAACTGAAGATATGAACCTGCAAAATACCAGGTCGGTTTCGACCTGGTTATTTCAGCACCAAACGAAAAAGACTTAATTAGCTTATATATAAACAAAAACTTTACTGAATGTGTAATTGTATTTTAATAAAGTTCGGGGTCTTAGTTTTCAAGTTTTATTGGTCTTAGGGGTCTTATCTTTCCCTTACAAAAATTGTATGCATGCTTCATGTATGCTTCATGCAGAACTATTTCCATGTATGCGCGCATGCATTCATGCAGGTTTGCATGATGTTTGCATGCATAATTGCATGCATGCAAGCATATAGCATACAATTGCATAAGAATTACATGCAAGCAGCAAGTAAATTGCAAGCATACATTTATAGGTATTTGCATGCATGCACATACATGCATGCAGGTCAGCAAGCATGCAACATGCATGAATAGGTAAATTGCATGACTATGCAAATACTTATTCATGCATGCTGCATGCTTGGAAACCATGCCAAAAATTGCATGCTGCATGAATATGTGCATGAAAGGCAAATATGGTTTGGCAATTATAATGCAAGATGAAGTGTCTTTTATTTGCATCCACACAGATTACCATGCATGCAGTAGAGTGCACCTGTAGTCATTCCATTCATCCAATACAGATTCATGGCACACAAGCAAAGACCTAGTTCACAATTAAAATATAAAATAGCAACACTTATTTACAGTAAGTTAAATACTGATATATAACAGGTCAACAGATCAAGTTAATTAGTCTGACTCCCAGCAATTTGGGGTCCTGCATACATAGGCAACAGAGGGCAGACAACTGACAGCTACTACCTTCTCTTTGATGTTGGCAATGGGCATGTACGAAATCTGTTCAGTATTGCTAAAAAATAAAACAAGTTATTTTAATACTGATATTACAGATCTACAGATCTACTTAAGTGTTGTACTTGTAAATTAGCATAATTCTCTTACAAATGTTCACCTCACGTTTAGTTATGTTGGTTTTATTACCAAAATTAATTCCATTCATAATCTAAAAAGTTCAGTCTCAGTTACCTTTCCTCATGAAATGGTAGTAGATGATGACCAAGGTCTTTATTGGTGGTTGAAACCACAACATTTGCCATAATAGCTTCATCTGGGAATGATTTCATTTCATACATGGCAGCCAAAAAGTGACAAACGTTCTCAACTTGATCTTTTACCTTCAGAAAATAGGCAATCTCTCCAACTCTACCATCACCGGTGTTTGATGTATACATTACAGTATAACTGTTTCGCTTTTTTACCTTTTCACAGGCCTTGCTATAAAACATATTTTTTCGAAAAATAATTTTTTTGAAAGAATATAACTCTAATTGAGAGTTGACAGCTGTTCCTGTATCAATTCATTTAGACAAGCTTTTTCCATTGTTGTTAAGTTGACCCTGGACAAGGAACCAACAGAATAGCAACCGAGAAAAATATCAACAACATTGTTGCTATATAAAGAAGAAAATACAACAAGAATGTTCAGCTGTATAGTTAATGCAGTATTATGTTTAATGGGAGGAAGATTAGAACTGCCACTTTTGTTTGCAACTGCATATATTAATCAATAAAACACACTGTGCCCTAAATTAAATCTGCACAAAATGTATCCAAACCGACCTATTAGAACTGTTCAATGTCTTCATGAATGAAATCAAATCTCCTGAAGTTTCAGACACATCAGATGTCTCCAGAACAGCAATCTTCTGTATTGCTTTGACCACAGCAACTACCTACAAAATATATGATTCAGCAGCATAATTAGTCACTGGGGTACTGTGCCCACAGCGACTCTAGGTTTCGGCATGCATTTTTTTCGCGGATCTCCAATCGCAGATCGCAAATCTCCGTTGTACACAAATTTCCATTATGAAACGTCACGATTTTAAGGAAAATTGAGTATATTGAAGTGGAAACATGTGAGACAACGACATCGAATTATAGAACTATATTTAGTTCAATTTAGTTATGTTGGAAAATTGAGAAAAATTGAGTATATTTAAGTGGAAACATTTGCGGCAAGGACTCAAGATTCTCTGCTCAAGGAGTGAAAGGACAAAATATCGTGAATGTTTTTGTATAGTTTTCAACGATTCAAGATTGAAGCCTGATAGATTTTTCACAGGGTAAGTACTGAATGTATTTTATCTTCAGATACACTCATCTCGCATGGATGTGCACATATTTGTGATAGACCTACACTAAAAGATGCTGAGCGATTTCGAACTGGGTCTATGATTCATGAATACAAACATACCTTCGGGTACAAAAAAAGAAAATATACCTTGGGGTACCTACCAAAATCTTACCAAAAACCTTGCCAAAAGTCTTACACAAAACGTGATCAGAAATGTGATATAAATACTATAACAATGACGAATAAAACGCAGACAAACTCGCAAACAAACGTAAACTCAGGACAAAGTTGCCTTGCCGTGAACAAACACGTGGTTATAAACATGGCCGCCAGCAGAAAGAACCAGGGCAATGTGATAACTTCTAAAAAGAAACCAACCAACAATCTCCCGGTTTGTGTAAACAAAGATCATCTGGGGGGAAAAGCACATTCCACAGAACAATGTATTTCAGGTATAAATATATTTAACAACTGTATTTCTGAAATTATAAACCAGAATATAATCAATGATCTAGCTGGCCAGAAAGAAATATATGACTCAAAGTTCAAGACTGTAGATATAAACGAGCTCCCAATACGATCACGACATGCACTATTTTCTAGAGCTTGCCCTCATGATAGGCATGATCCAGATTTGACTAAGAACACTGATTGTCAAATACGTCATCATGACCGTGAACCCAGCAGAATACCAGTGAAAAGGTTAACTCAAAAGTTTAGAAAAAGTCGGTTGTTAAGAAAACAACTTAAGCATAACATCAAAAGGTCTGTACCAAGATCCTCGCAACTTCATTATATAGTATGGAATTTGTGTCGTAAAAACACTTGTCACATGAAGCGTGTCACTGATGACATTTACTGTCCTACTAAGAAGGTTGGAAAGAGAAACAGAACAAAGCTTGCAACAAGGTGTTTAGGACCTTATGTTAATCAAGGCATTCTTGAAGATATTTTCTACTTGTCAGGTTTTACTCGTGATATACATGCAAAACAGGAATACAAAAATTATAATCACTTAAAGAGTGTCAGCCAGTCTGCATTATATACTGATATTGAGAAAAGTCCTGGTCCTGTTTTTATTGATCCTGGCAAGACAATATGTGCCCCATATAGCCAAGGTAATCTTATGCTATTTGGTGAATCAGCAGGACAGCAATGTTTAGCGATGCGTTTGTGTGCTCTTATATACAGCAAAAGACAGCGCATCTGTTCATCTCAAGACCTGGTTCAAATCTTGAATATCGGAAATGAATTATATTAAAATTTGTCACATTCTGCAGGGCAATCATTTTTTATGTTTACAGAATTGCCTTCAGAACTCACAGTATTTTTGACACAAACTATCTTTTTGAGTACAGTGAGAGCTATAACGGTACAGTAATGGGAAATTGTTGTATTGAAGGATATCAGTACTGTGTGCCATTTAATAGAGCATTTGAATTGCTACTGGCTGAAAACTATAGTGCATTCATCTTAACAATTGACTCCAATGCTGTTTGCATATATTGCACCAATGATGGCAAATACAAAAATTTTTACTCCCGTTCCAAAGATATTTATGGTAGAAGTCACCCACAAAGTACATGTGTTTTGTTAGAGGCAGCAAGTATCAGCAATGTAGTTCTTCATTTCCAGTCATTATACAGTGGAAACAATCAATTTGAGCTAAAAGC